TCTTAAATGGTTTTCCCTTAAGTTCTTCCCTTCCAGTATAAGTCCTGTGACGGATTTACCTCTTTAACTCTCTTCCCCCATCCGAACTGCTGAAATGATGAATGGGGATACTACTCAGATTCTTAACAGGAAACGATTTCATTAAAAACAGGAAAGGAAAAGGTAAACTTTTAGACATCATGTTACCCTCGCCTGGATTTAAGGTCAGGCAGACATCTCTGATACCATGGAAGTGCTGTATGAATAAATAAGTGCTCATCAGTTGAGGGCCATCTTCATCCCCGGGTTCATGATGCTAGGTAGGGTTTGGGTCTTTATTAAGAGGTGTTGTCAGCATGAAATGGTATTATGAAATCTACATTCAACACTTATTTGATTATTTGGGGTTATATTTAATGTCAAGCAAGATAACCTGGTTGTTTGTTCTTCTCTTCAACCCAGTTCAAACTACTTTGAAGTAATATATATATGATGCTTTTTCCTTGAATATTCTAAAAGAAATCAGCAATTCAAGTAAGGGGGGCAGAGAATCTATAACTTATAGCATTAACTATTTCTTACCCCTGTCCCTAAATTCTCTATGCCCCAGCTAATGGAAAAATTAGCTCCTTATGCATGAGGGCTGATGTAGGTTTGTTCGTATTATTAGTGATATAATTATTTGCTCAGCATGAGAAGAAAACAGGCAGTATATTCTATCAGGGAAAAGCTAGTTTCTCAGGCAGACTACACATAGTCTGAACATGGGGCTAGAATTTAAATCAGCCACCAAATGAGCTGATCTTACACAAAGATTAAATTGAAAACCTTACCATGGGGAAAGAATACCAAAATGGTTGTTAACCATAAATACCAAGCAGAGAGGAAATTACTAAACAAGTTGGCCATGTACAATGCTCAATTCGTTCTCCAGACAATTTGGAAGGGAAACGTGGAGGTGGAATTTCTTAGAAACGTTCCAGAATGACTGTACAAAGACAAATGGGGATGAGAGGAAGAGTAAGAAGACCAAAGCTTACACTATGCTGCATTGTCTTCCACACAGTCCTCTGGGAAGCAAGAGGAAAACAAATGTAAAGGAAAAAGAAAAAGAGATTATTCTAGACATAATAGCACAGAACAGGTATAATGTTTATCGTTGTAGGCTGGAATTCCACCCACCCTTGTCCCAAATTCCCTTAGAATGACAAGAAAGAAATCTACATACACAGTACAATGTTGAATACTTACTAGAGAATTATTGATCAACATCATCTCCAACTTGGTGAATTAAGTTCCAAGGCTGGCTTTAAAAAGAATTCTATTTTTATAAAATACATTCCTATGAGATGCACACTTTAAAGTATGTTTTTGCTCTAATGAGTCTGCTGGAGTGAAATAACAGAGTCCCTGCCCAAGTTAAGTTCAGAAGTGCTGTAGCATGTTGTGTTCTCATTTTCTGAGCTGTGGAATTAATTGCCTTTTTAATTTGACATAGTTCCGTCTGTTCAGGTCTTAAAAATTGAGCTATTTTGTGTTGATTAATTTTTATAATCTTCACTTCCTGTTAATTGGAACTTACCCAAAACAAAAACACACGCAAACACCCTCATAGTTTTACATCAAACTAAGAGAATTCACAGAGTATACATTGAAGGAAAGGGAATACGAGCTAGTCTCTTCTCTAGTGCCAATCCTCATCGTTGGCCTCTTTAATTGAAAATCAGTAACAGTCTGTTCTGACAGAAGGGCTGTTACTGTGAGTGTTGTTGACAGGAAGGAGGAGCATGGCTGTGGCTCCAGTCCGTGAACCAAATTAGCTGATGGCATTTCTTGACTTCAGTAAATCACGACTATTGGCAGAGGGACTGGAGCGTTCTCTGACTAGTTGGCTTCCTATCGGCAGCTGAATTTATACACACATATGAAGTAATTATTGGATAATAAAAATAACTTCAAGGAAGTATATCTGAAAGCTACTGGCTATATAAACTGCCTTTTATACCATAAAACTTTAAAGGAACAGATGCGAATGTTTCCTAGATGTTAAAGGATTTAAACTTCTTAGGAAATATAATAGGAGGTGAGATGATGGGACTGATGTATTTTTAAGGAGAGTTTTTTGTTCATTTGATTTGTTTTGTTTTTAAGTCTCTTATATAAATTTTGAGTAGTTTATCCAGTCTGTGGTTAGAAGCTTTCTTTCTAAGGCAAACCCTATAATTACCAGGTCATCTAAACTATACTTTACAATAACGGACATAAGAGCATGTATCAGCAGATCTCAATATCACATATACAAATTTAAATTTAAATGGTATTAAGAATCAGCTCTCTGAGAGTTTATAATTGCAGTACCTTGACTTTGGCAATGGGGTTGAGGTGACTGGAATATTCTTTTTCGATAACTCTGCTCGGTAGCATTGTCTCTGCTAAACCAGAGAAATTTAGAGAACCTTTTACAGTTATACTCCTTTTCTGGGACACATGCTTCTTTCAGGAAACATCTTTTCAGGGGAAAATTTAAACTGGAACAGGTAACAGACGTCTGGTTTAAAAACAGTCAAAATAGGCAGTGATGTATGGCAGACCCATAGGATAGTTCACTAACACATCTATCTTGAAGATGATTTTGTCTGACATTTGCACACTGCACATAGGCCAAGGGTAACTGCTCTACCTTCCCACTGTTCAAACTATATTGCAGCCTCAAAAGGAAGAAGGAAAGCCTTGAGGGAGCCATAGGCCACAAATGGAGACTCTGATACTAGCTTCAGGCTTAGCTTGTGTTTTTAGGAATAACCTTGGTACAGATGCTTTTGATAAAGAAAAGGCCACTTCTGGCTTAGTAGCTCTAGGTAGACTTATGGCTGGCTGTGAATTACAAATTGCAAATATGGGCAGGAATGAAAATTTAATTCAATAATGAAAATAATAATAAAAGAATAAAATCTTAATTATTACAGAGCTTTAAGTTACTTATGAGGGCAGTAAACTACCATGGGATGTTAAAGAATGTTTTAGAATAAAAATAGCTTATTGATTTACATATCTGTGTACTGAATCTGATCCTTTATTTTACTTACAATCAGATGATAAATTATTACTAATTATTTTCAGGGAAAAAAATGAATAAAAGCTTTTTTTATCTTCCAGTGCAGAAATCAACAATCCTAAATCAGTTTGCTATTTCACAACAGCAAACTTGTATTTGGGGTCTTTGTTAATGAGATTACCAATGAGATTCCTTAATAAAAAGTTCAAACTCCAATTTTCATATATATTTATCTATTAGATTTTCAACATTATTTGAACTTCTCCAAGTGTTGATAATGTCTCATTTAGGTTTGTGCTAAATTGCATAAATATTGTGGTCTTGGAAAGAAGCGTTTTGTTGCCTTCCTCCCGTCTGAGTGTGTGTGTTTATATCTTCTGAGGAGGAGAGAAAACTGTGCTTCTCTTTTGCAAAGGGGGAAAATAATTAGTTGTCACAGGTATCATTATGTTGTTTAAATTCAATGCAATTATAATTAAGTGCTTAATGTATCCCAGTTCTGTAATTTGCTTTCATAAAAAATTTGAAAACTCTGAATTGTTTATTGAGAGAACTAAGATGGGGATCTAATATCAAATTCACATTAACCATTGTTCTTTTTGTTAGAAGGATCTTGAAATACAACCAGTTTGTTAAGTTAAAGCCCAGACAATGGAATCAGATCCAACCATCATTTATTTTAAACAACTGAATAGCAGCAACAAATTATCTGGCAAATATAATTGGTTGTTTAAAAGACAAAAGGTGACTGAATTGTAAACAATGTTCTCCTGAAATTATGAAAAGAGGATAGAATAACCAAAGTAAAATAAAAGGTTGAAGCAATTACTCATATAATTTTGTTTCTGAAAACAATGTTGTAGAAAAGGGTGTTTTATTTGCTAGTAATCAGTATTAACTTTTTGAGATAATTTAGCAGTTCACTACCCAGCTTACCTGTCACTTCAGCATTTCAGGACAGGACTTTATGCTGTAAAATACATTTGATTTTTATAGAGAGAAATGCTGAGGTGTATTCACTTTGAGGCCAAACTTAACGATTCTAATATTATGAGTGCTAGAAGGATATCAGCTAAAATGAGAAAATCATTTATAACAGTGCCCAATGAAAGCATATGCATAACTAGTAACCCTAGAGACCCAAGTTTATCTGATACAATCAGATTGTTTCCAGTGCTTTATGACCTGAAGGTTTTTATCTGTTAATTTTGCATGAAGATAATTGGCAAAGCACCCTTAACAGAACTAACAATTACAAGTGTATCTATTCTTTATAGTACTATAAATGGAAGAATTTAAATAACAACTTATCAAGCAATATTTATTTGATAGGAAAAGCTTTACTTTTTTATTTCAAAATCTGATTTTTAAAACACACTCAAAAATTGTATTTACTATATGGATCGTTGTATTCAAGAGCTAAATAGCTTTGTTTCCATTCAGCTATCACATTGAAACAGCTCAAGTAGTGACTGTATCTTAGGATTCCAACTTTTCAAAGACACACACACACAAAGGGAAAACATTGGTACCTAGCATTAATTTGGGGTCTTCCAAACAGAAAACTTTGCATATGATAATAAGGAGTCATAAAAAAAAACCTTTCACTGTATCATGCTTGAATAAACAATCATTTTAAGAAAAGAGTTGAAATAGATGAATATAACTGTCTCTCTGGAAGAACGGATATCAGTACCTTCATCTTCTAATTAACATTTTAGAAGAAATATAAAGTTGAAATTTTGGCCACTGCATGAGTGGATTAATAGTGATACAATTTCTTAAATATTCAAATTTACAGACTAACAGAGAGATCCCATTACTTCAAAAACTTCTAATTAAAATCAGAAGGAGAATATAAGAAAGAGACGACTATCCTAATCAACCTTTCCAAGATCTTATATTGTGTTTTCACGAATATTCTCGGCACAGAGAGTATCCATTATGGCCATCAATCCGCAAGTACTCACCAGCCGATCTAAGCTTGTGCCTGCAGCGGTTGTTGGTCTCTCCTCAGGATTGTAGGGCCTGAAACGCGTATTAAAGTTTTCTGGTGCTGAGCGGGCTGATCTGAGGGCTGGAGCGGGCTTGGGCTGGCCGCATCCCTGAAACACCTGGAAGAACCAGAGACACGATGACACGCTATAGAGTGAGTTTCCTTCTGAGACCTTGATGCAGAAGTGCGCAACGCAGTGGTTTTCATATTTTCCATGAAACTCTTACTTCAAACACATGCAAGTGTAAGCAAACAAACAAATACAACCAGCCTGTAATAGAATAATCCAGAAAGACACAGAGTGAGCTTTTATAGGCTCAGACTCTTTGTTTCACCATATATTAAAAAATAGGAATTGTAAAAGTTACCTAAGAGTCCATGAGTGGCGTGCACAGCAACATGCTTGATTACTAACTGAAAGGCTGGCAGTACGAATCCACCCAGAGAGGTCTAGCAATCTACATTCGAAAACTCAGACATTGGAGACCCCCTGGAGCAGTTCTACAATAGGTTTGTCTTGATTAAGTGTCAGCTCAAGAGCAATGCTGACTTCAGAGGAGGAGCGCAAATGAAGTACGTTTTGTGGTAGAAATTTTCATGCACTTGATTTTAGTTCTCAAGAAACATCCATTTGGGATTTTTGTTATCATGACAGATGTATTTCATGTATTGCATATAAGGCCAACTACCTTGAATGACTCCCCTTTGAATAATGCAAACTTCTATTGTGAGAGTTCCTTGGAAATACTCTCTTGAGCAGTGGTGTGGACATGGAACATGCAAATATGCATAAAATCCACAGAATGACAGTTTCCTCTAATTCTGTTGTTGACAGCTGTTCATGTCACAATGAGGATTTGCTGTGGGAAATCAAACATTTTATGATAATGATCTTAGAGACTGAGCTGCTCATTCTTTCCCACAGTGGCTTCACTCAGGGTGGCGTGGAGATATCTCCATTGGAGTTTTTAGAAGCTTCACGCTTAGGGTATCAAGTGATAAGACCATTACTAGAATTATAGGGAATATAGGAACATTTCAGAAACTTTTCACATATATATAGATTCATATCATAGATATATATGTTGTTGTTTTATGTGCTATGGAGTCGGTTCCAACTCATAGGGACCCTGTACAGGGTTTCCAAGGCTGTAAATCTCTATGGGAGCAGAAAGCCTCATCTTTCTTCCA